GGCACAGCTTCTGCACAGCACACACTTGGAGCCAGTTGCTTCTGCTCTGTTATCCCAGATATGCCATCTCCCCATGAACCAATGGGAGGAGAGCAGGGTCTTTGGAAACTAAACCTGACTTCAGCCTTTAGGAGCAGTGTGGGGCTGCACCCCTCTCTCCTCCATGTCTCCTTCCTGGGGCAGGTCTAGGGCACTCACACACGGTCCGCTGGAACGCATTATACAACACAAATAAAGCTGGAGGCACCACAATACCAGATTTAAAGACATACTACAGGGCAGTTATAATCAAAGCAGTCTGATATTGGCACAAAAACAGACAGGTAGACCAACGGAACAGAATGGAAACTTCAGCAATCAATCCACACATCTACAACCGACTTACCTTTGACAAGGAGCTATAATCAATCCCTGGAGCATGGATGATCTTTTCAATAAACAGTTCTGGGAAAACTGGATCTGCTACACAAATATTGTCTTATACTTAAAGCTGATTTTACATTTTAAAAACTTGTAAAAATTTGTCATGCTCAGTATTTGCTTCACAAGCTTGAAGAAAACCAAGGAATAGTTGACAAACAAAATGTAATATATACAAACAATGGAAGCTTTTCCAGCCTTAAAATAAACAATTAAGTTCTGATACATACTACGACATGACTGAACCTTGAGGACTTTATGACAAATTAAATAAACCTGACACGAAAGGGCAAATGTTGTTAGGAAGTATGCAGAGAAGTTGAATTCATAGAGACAGAAAGAATTACAATTTTTTCAGCTTCTTGGTGAAGTGGGAAGTGAGGATCTATTCTTTAATAGCCATGACATTTCAGTTTGGGAACATGGAAAAGTTCTGGAGGCATTTGGTGGGCATGACTATACAATCAATACATTTAATATCATTCACATGTACACTGAAAGTGGTTAAATGGTAAATTTTATGTATGTTTTGTTACAATAAAAATACATCAAGGGAAAGTAATGGACAATGAATTATGTCAGCAACATTGAAGGAAAACATTGTTGAGTGTTGAGGATGGAGCTAAGGGCGTTGCTTCCCTAGTTTACTCCTGGGCTTCAGAAGTATCTATATGACTAAGGTAAATGTTGATTACCAGAAAGGTAATTCTTGGGGTCGGCGCTGTGGCAGAGCAGGCTAAGGCCCTGGCCTGAAGCACTGGCATCCCATATGGGTGCCAGTTCAAGTCCCAGCTGCTCCTCTTCCGGTCCAGTTCTCTGCTATGGCCTGGGAAAGCAGTAGACGATGGCCCAAGTCCTTGGGCCCCTGCATCTGTATGGGAGACCCAAAGGAAGCTCCTGGCTCCTGGCTTCAGATCGGCACAGCTCTGGCCACTAAGGCCAACTGGGGAGTGAACCAGCAGATGGAAGACCTCTCTGTCTCTCTGCCTCTCCTCTCTGTGTAAATCTGAATTTCAAATAAATAAATAAATAAATCTCTAAAAAAAGAAAGGTAATTCCATGCACATTTGCAGCCAGTTCTTCACCATTTGAAAAACTGAAGAGAAGCTAGTAGCGGTGCCTCCTTTTGTAGTATTTCTAGTCTCCACCACTAGATGTCTGTAGTGATTGGCTGAACATGATTTCTCAATGGCTGATGTGGGAAACTATGATGTTCAAGTCTAAGGATCAGCATTTCGTCTCTGAAGGATAGAAGGAAAATTTATATTCCCAGAATACATAATAAGAATTTGTCCTTTAGGAAATCCCACTGAATGAAATTGACAGTTTATGACTTTTAAACAAGGGCATTTCAGAAAGGTCATGGATAATTGAATTTAAAAAGATCATTTTTGGTGTAAAAATATTGAAATCTATGAATACTTTTTCATAATACAGACTTTCTGTGCACTTTTTGAAGATATCTCATGTTTCTAATCTTTGGTAGGTGGGACTCCTGCTATCTATGTCCCCTCGGTCACCACTGATAAAAATGCCACAATTTTCCAGCATAATCAGGCACACAACCCTGAAGATTGGCACTTTCATTCTCAAGCATGAACCAGCCATGCTTTCATAAAGAAACATTGTCTGACTCTGACCTATGCCTACAGCCACCCCATCCAAACCTGAAACTATATTAGTCAGTCATAAGGAGAAAAACGGTCTACAATTATGGTTTCCAAATTATCTTACCCAAGAACTCTCCTAAATTATACCCAGAGGCATATCTCTCCCAAGCTCAATTGTTTCTCCAAACACGGGCCTCTATTGATCTTCCTGGGTACCCAGTGGGAGTAAATAAAGGACCTTAACTGTCACTCTGGCAAAGTTTCCCAGGAGCCTATTACTCATTCTCTGAGGACTTGAGAAGTCATTGCATTACCAAATCCTGCAGTTGAGAGACTCTACTTAAACATTTTTGGAAACTCAAAGAGCCAAGACTAAGAAGGACCTGTGAGCAAACGACACCAGCAAAGTCTTCTAAGAAGAAGCCTAAGATTTGGGGTTATAATTCTTGGGCTCTGTTTCTAGAGAGACACTTGGAAGAAGGATTTCAAACCAGAATGAAAGGAATTTTCTTGCCACATTGTTCATGAACTCCTTAGCAAACAAAAATTTGACAAACTTGATTGAGTCCAATCGAGTGAATTTGATTAAATTAGTGTTAGGGTTCATGAGCTAGCTCATCCTGATTTTGAATAATTTGGTATTGTTCTCACTGATGTAATCCACTGATGTATTATAAAAGGATAGAATGAATCTGATTTCATATCCATAATAACCTCACAATCATATATTTTTGGTGGTGAGATTGGTTAAAAAGTCTATTTTAATAATTTTGAAATATGTAATACATTGTTAATAAATGTGGTTGCCACATTCTCATTGTTTTCAATTTTGGTCATATGGATCTCTAAAGTATCTGTAACATTACATGTGTTTTGAAGACTTGCTTATACTTCACAATGTTTGTGGTGGCAATGAAATTAAAAGATGTCTCTATTGGTACAGAAAAATGAATTTTATGCCTCTTTCTTAAAATAAACTTTTGATGAAGTCCTGTCAAATGCATGGATTTCAACATTTTTACACAAATATAAACTTAGTTTTTCCTTCAGTTTTCCATGAACTTCTTCAAATATCCTCATACTGCCAAGAAAATGCATGGAAATTAATTCTAGTGCTATTGTAGTTTCAAAAATGAAAATGGTTATTTTCTGCATAATGCAGGTTGACAATGAGAACTAAACAACGATATCCATACTCTGACGAGGTGTCTAAAGAGATATGAACTTCAGTGTCCTACTTCTCAATCAAGTCAGATGACTGTGTTGCATATGCCAGGAGGGAAGAAACTGATGCCTGGAATCCATTGAAAAACAGAGGACTCCACAATGAATTAGACCCAAGGTCAGTGGTAAATCTTTGTTCCCAAATGTAAGCAAATTCATTTAAATTATTCTACTTACTTTTACTCAACTAGTTTCTAGAGTTACATTTGTGACTTACAGATTAGTATGAAATTGAAAATAAGAAACTCAGGATAACTCCATGTGTCATTTGATTCCACACACCAATAGGAAACACAATCCATAATTCTATTAGATCAGACTCTGTTAAAAACTACTGACGTCGTGTTTATAACGTTATGATTAATGCTTGTGCCTCACCAAAGACATTGATTTCATGAATTTCAGTTTTCAATAGTGTGGAATTGCTTTGACCTTTTCATAGCCTCCAAATTGCCACATTCGTGTTAGAATTCATGAATGAAATCTACTTGGAGTGATTACTCACATAGTCTCCATCTAGAGAACTTATCAATACAGAGGAAGCAACACTGAGCTGTCCTGAAAGCTAAAGATTTCCTCTCCTTTGCTAAAACAGAGAGGTCATGATGCTAATCTCTGTGCCCAGGAATTTCTTTATTATTTTGTTTTTAAATTTTTAGTTAGTGTGTAATACTTATGGAGGACAGTGCAGTAACTTGGCACTTAAGCACAGCATAAGCCAGTCAAGTCAAAAAATGAACCTTTTCATTTTTCATATTTGGAGCCTACATAACATGTTGTGAAATGCAGTCACCCAACACAGAAAGACAAATATTGTATGTCTGTCTCATATAAGGAAGTTTAAAAAATTGTTGATTTGAACTTAGAATCTTGGCCAGAAATGTGAGGAAAATAATATTGCTATAGTTTTTGAAAGATATTGGAGAAAGGGAGGAGAAGGAATAAAAACTGATATGTGTCTTTGTAACAACAACATGTATTCATTTAGAAAATCCATGCCCTTATTAAAATGTGTATATATATTAAATACTTCTACCCATTGGCAAGACGAAAAGGAAGAGCCATATTATCCTAACCATTATATCTGATCAATGGAAAACTCAGGGAATTTCAAGTGTCATTTAATTCTATTTCTGTCAAGTGAAAGGGAAAATATATCTAATCAGAGGTTAACTCTATATTTGATGTAATGAATTGAAAAGAAAATATACTTGAGAGGTACTGTGCACTTTTCATGGAAATTTGCACCATTTATTAGCCTGTGTGGACAGATGTGGAAAGAATGAACATGAAAAACTGGGGCTGTTGAGTGATTTATGCTCAATTGTTATATCAGTGGAAAAAACTGCAACAACAGCTCTGTCCCTGCTCAGTGCATGTATATTCATTTTACAAAAAGGAATCATAGATCACATAACAGGCAGGCATAAACTTATCTAGGCTTGGCACTTTCATATCTAATACACTGATGACCTTGAAAAGAATAAATAGATATCTATAAAGATTCAGACCAAAACACAAGTATAAAGCTGATGAACATTGTCCCAAAATTTAAAAGAGAGCCATCTGGGAGGCTTTTTAGAGCCAACAACTTCGCAAGTCAACGCAGGGACACATTCATAATACCACTTGCTTTAATATAGGTACTTGTAAGGTGCTGCCACTATTCAGTTAATACGAAGGAGGAGAAATCCAACCTTTCTCTGCTTCTTAAAACTATCTGAAGATTGAAAAAGTGAGTGGAAGTGTGGCTCGACTGACCTCAGAGACCAGAACCAAAGGGGTCATAGGTACTTTCATATTACCTTTAAAACATTATCACTGGGGCCAGCACTGTGGCATAGCAGGCAAAGCTGCCACCTGCAGTGCCAGCATCTCATACGGATGCTGGTTTGAGACCAGGCTGCTCCACTTCTGATCCAGCTCTCTGCTATGGCCTGGGAAAGCAGTAGAAGATGGCCCACATCCTTGGGCCCTTGCACCCACATGGGAGACCCAGAAGAAGCTCCTGGCTCCTGGCTTCGGATCGGCACAGCTCTGGCCATTGTGGCCAAATGGGGAGTGAACCAGCAGATGGAAATCCTCTCTCTTTCTCTGCTTTTCCTTCTCTCTGTGTGTAGCTCTGATTCTCAAATAAATAATTAAAAAAAAGAGAAAGAAACTTTAGGAACTAAGTTGTCAGTAGATTAGCCAAGTGGGATTCCACAGGAATATAGTCTGCAAAACTTTTTAAAAAATTATCACTGAGAAATACTGTGGTTATCTTCCAAACACTATACCCAAAATCAACCTAAACTGAGGGAAAGGATGAACAATGTAACAGAATTCATCTTGCTGGGCCTCACCCAGAATCCAGAACTGCAGAAATTCCTATTTGCTGTGTTTTCAGTCATCTACTTGATCACACTGGCAGGTAACCTGCTCATCGCAGTCACCATCTTTGTCAGCCCAGCCTTGGGCTCTCCCATGTACTTTTTCCTGTCCTATCTGTCCATTATAGATGGTTTCTACTCTTCTTCCACAGCACCCAAAATGATCTTTGAGTTGGTTTCTGAGAAGAGCACCATCTCCTTCAATGGATGCATGACTCAGGTATTTTTCGTACATTTCTTTGCTGCAGCTGAGGTCGTATTATTGATTGTCATGGCCTATGACCGCTATGTGGCCATCTGTAAGCCCCTGCACTATCTGACCATCATGAGCCCACCTGTGTGTGCTTCCCTGGTGAGTGTGGCTGGGATCATCGGATTTCTGCATGGAAGCATCCAGATTTTGTTTATGGTCCAGTTACCATTCTGTGGCCCCAACGTTATTGACCATTTTGCATGTGATCTCATGCCCCTCTTGCAGCTGGCCTGCACTGACACTGATACTTTGGGACCCCTGATTGCTGTCAACAGTGGGGCAGTATGTTTGCTCAGTTTCCCTATGCTGGTTGCTTCGTATGTCATCATCCTGCGTTCTGTGAGGGCTCATAGCTCAGTAGGACGTCAAAAAGCGCTGTCTACCTGTGCCTCTCATATCACTGTTGTCATCTTATTCTTTGTACCTTGTACTTACCTGTACCTGAGACCCATGACCAACTTCCCCACTGACAAGGCTGTGACTGTGTTTTGCTCCTTAGTAACTCCTATGCTGAATCCTTTAATCTACACTTTCAGAAATGCAGAAGTGAAAAATGTTATGAAGAAGCTCTGGGGCAAATCATGAAAACTGAGGATAAATAAATCTTGTGATTTGATTTTTAAGCCAAAAAAAATCTAGTGATTTTCATTGGCATTTGTTCTCCTTTTGGTTCATCTAAATTGAGACAGTTAAATACCTTGTGTGGGTCACCTTTCATTAAGCATCTGCTTATACTGGACAGAGCCCACATCTCCCACGGCACCGAAGGCATTGGCTAGGCCCAGCACATTTGTAACAGCCCTGGAAATTGCCTAGTTTATGTTCTAATTAGAAGAAAAAGTGCATACATTCAGAAAAGCAACCTGATTGTATTCATCATTACATAAAGTCATAAAATGTAATTTTTAATATTTTATAAAAGGTTGGCAAATTCATAATAGTTCCCTAATGCAGGCATAAAAGAGATCAACATGATACTCTTGAGTCCTTTTCATCCCCACCAAAACAACTAAAATAAACTTTCAATTCACAAGATGAGAAACCACTGTGAGGGGAAATGAAGTCAAGCATAGCAGAATTATTTGATCTTTTAGATGCCACTGTGCATGCTGTCATTTTGAAAAACTGACTTTTCAATCTTAACTTTATCAAATCATTAACAAACAATATTAAAAGCACAAAATGTATTCCAATGAAATGGGTAGAACTGGACATCATCAAGCTCAGTGAAATAAACTGGACCCAGAAAGACAAATATCACATGTTTTCTCTTATTTGTAGGAACTAATAGAGAGTATAAAAATTGGGTGGATGCCACATCATTTGGAATGTTGCTATAAATTTTGCTTCACTAAATCATGCATGTACATGACAATTTACCCTCTTTCCTCATCTTTCAATTATCATTAATCTCTCACTTTGTGATATTAGTAATTGTTTTCAAGAAAAAGTAGTATATGTGTGTATAATGTCTATATATGATGTGAATATGGAAAAATGTTACAAATTGTTAAATATTAAAGCTAAAAGATAAACAAAGTAAAATGTAAAAAAGTACTTTCTTCAAAATATAATTTTTATATCTTCTAAGTGTGAGAAATTTTAAAAATGCTCTTGTAGAAACATGAAAAACTTGTTTTTCTTACTACAACACAGAAAAGTAAGTACTCTCCCATCAAATATTCTTTTTAAAAATTGAATAGCCACAATTTTCTGTGTAATGCAATTATCAAAAAAAAAGCACCAGGGGCACATTGACTAGAGCAAAATGAGTCCAGTTGATAAAGTCTGTGGACTAGACAGAAAAGTCTTCACATTGAAGTCTGGCTTTAGATACCAACAAAGGCATAGAAGGCTCTGAAATCAAAGTAGTTTTATGGGATATTAAAGTGATGTAACGGTGATGAGTAAGGAACCTGACAACAATGATCAAATGTCTGAGTTACAGCAAAGAATCCACACCATGAATGTAATAAAGTACTAAATGATTCAGAAATAATCACTCGATGACAGCTAACTGAGCACCTAAAAGGAAACCCGTTGAAGTGAAATGGACACTATGAGAAACAATGACCAGAGCAGCCCTGGTCTTGACTGTTGAGGAACAACTTACTATTTTATTCCTTGTAGTATTTTTTTGTTGTTGTTGTACTTAATACCATTGGTTGAACTCTGTAATTAATACACAATTATTCTTAGGTGTTTAAAATTAACTGAAAAATGATCTTTGTTAAATATAAGAGTGGGAATAAGAGAGTGAGAAGATACACAGTTCAGCACAGGCTCACTTGGACTTACCTACAATGGTAGAGCTAGAAATGTGCCAGGGGATTCCAATTCAGTCTCATCAAGGAGCCATGTTCCAATGCCATCTCACTTGTTAAAGTGATCAGTTTAAGAACATAATTGATCAAAAAGATAGGTTAAGTGTCAAAGAGATTTCACATATAAGAACAGTGTTTGCAAATAACGAAGGATAGAATTAAAAGGGAGAGAATGATCCTGCGGGGAAAGCAGGACACACAGCAGACTCATAGAATGGCAAATGCCCTAAACAGCACTCCAGACTTGGAATCAACCCTTGGGGCATTCAGATCTTGCTAAAAGGCAAGTCTCATAGGCATGGAAAGCCAAGACACTGTGGCAAAAACGACCTGAATGAAAGATCTCGATGAGTGAGATCTCTGCAGAAAAAATGGGCCATCAAAGAAGGAGGCACCTTTCTCTGAAGGGAGGAAGGAACTTCCACTGTGATAATGGCCTTGACTAAATAAGATCAGAGTTGGTGAACTCAAGGGGCTTCCATAGCCTTTACAGCTCATGGCAAGAGCCTCGGGTGATTACTGACATCATAAATAAGAATGTCAATTGTTAAATCAACAATGGGAGTCACTGTGCACCTGCTCCCCATGAAGGATCTCTGTTCTTAATGTGTTGTACTATGAGAATTAACGGTAAAACTACTAGTCGAACAGTACTCTATATTTTGTGAGGTTATGTGGGTGCAGTCTGTTGAAATCTTTACTTAGTATATGCTAAGTTGATCTTCTGTATATAAAGATAATTGAAAATGAAAAAAAAAGATAATTGAAAATGAATCTTGATGAAGAATGGGATGGGAGAGGGAGTGGGAGATGGGATGGTTGCGGGTCGGAGGAACATTATGGGGGAAAAATCCACAACAATGCAAAAGTTGTACTTTGTAAATTTATATTTATTAAATAAAAAAAGAAATAATCAGATGAACTGAAGACAGAGATTAGGTGCTTCAATCAAATAGATCTGATATATTGTCTTCAATATTAATCAGGCTTACAAATGTAAGCAAATTATTTTACCACTCCATCTTCCATAAACAATAAGAATCAAATGATTTAAACTTTTTTAAGTAAGTGAAATGCATGCGAGATTTGAGTGAGTTCCTGGGTCCTGGTTTCAGCCTACCCAAGAGTGGATGGAACTTCGAACTCTCCCTCTTCCCGTCCCCCTCTACCTTCCCCCTCTTCTGTTCCTCCTCCCCTCCCCTTCTCCCTCTCCCTCACCCTCACCTTTCCTGGCACTCTCTCCCTTCCATTCCTCCTCTTGCTCTTCCTTTCCATGTCCCCTTCCCCCTCCAATAAATAAATATATCTTTAAAATTAATTATGTGGGGGCCAGTGCTGTGGTGTAGTGGGTAAAGCCGCCACCTGCAGTACCGGCATCCCATATGGGCACTGGTTCGAGTCCCAGCAGCTCCACTTCCAATCCAGCTCTCTGCTATGGCCTGGGAAAGCAGTAGAAGATGGCCCAAGTCCTTGGAACCCTGCACCCATGTGGGAGACAAGGAGGAAGCTCCTGGCTCCCGGCTTCAGATCAGCACAGCTCCAGCCATTTCCGGCCACCTGGGGAGTGAACCTGTGGATGGAAGACCTCTCTCTCTCTCTGCCTCTCCTCTCTCTGTGTAACTCTGATTTTCAAGTAAATCAATCTTTAAAAAAATAAATAAATAAAATTAATTATGTGAAAAATTGTTCAAATACTGAACAATACTCAAAGACATCACCAGAGGTTAAGGTATGCTACAGGCTAGAGTTTCTGATAGGAAAGCCATAGAACACTGCTACTGTCCTTAGCTAACCACAAACAGAGGAGGACACATCTGTCCCAGTCTCATCTCACTGCAAAATACATTGTAAACGCTGTTCCTTTGTGTGTGGGATGGTGTAACAGAGGGGTATCATCTTAGCAGACATGCTTGGTGGGGCCCGTAACCGGGTCTCTGGAAACCAAGGGTTAACTCATCACCAACTCCTTGAATCTGTGATTAAATTTCCACTAGATGTCTCTGCAGTTACAAATGAGGGAACTGGTGGGAGAGACTGTGAGAAGCCTGAGCAGAACTAATGTCAAAAGCTCTCACGAATGATGGATTCTGTCCACGATGATTCTCTAAAAGTAGGAGAAGAGACAGAGACCAGTGCCAGGGCCCAAAAGCTTTCCCTCTGTACTGACTTGTGATATCTATGGGAGAGCTCAGAACTACGTTCAACCCAGGGATTCAGATAGCACCAGACTCTGACACGCCCTGCGGTCTCAGGACGTTACTCGAGGTGAAAGGTCACATACAATGCTTTTAGGACAATAGTGGCTCTGCCACGGTTTTCTATGAGTGCCTATCTTGTAAATGTTTGTAGCCATCAGTACATTTTTAAAATCAAATTTATCTTTGAAAGATAAGAATTACTCCCATTTTTAACTTCATTCTATATTGTGATAGTATCTGAGCATCCAAACCAAATAAATAGCTAATTTCAAAAAAAATTTTTTTTTAAAAGATCTAGTTGTAGATCCAAACAATGACAAAGTGATGAATAGGATAAAGGAAAAATAAATATCTTCCTGTTGCTGGTGGCAAAATAATCCTGATAATGATTATAAGGTTGATGGTGAAGAAGATGATGATGATGCCAACTAATATGCCAGCATAGTCAACACTTTGTGTCTATATATCCCTGACCTAAGTTTCCGTGTTTTCACATTTTGAAAGCAGCAATTTCTGACTTATTTCTGTCCTTAATTTGTTTAAACCCCAAACTACAGAACTTACCTAATTATGCAACATTTCATTCATTGAATGTAACAATGACCCTACTCACAGCATTGTGTGAGCAAAAAATTTTAAATGATAGTATTCAAAATTACTATAGCACTTCCAAATTTATTTGAGTATTGTGTGCAAAGTATTTTTTATTCTATTAATTCTCTATTCTGCTACATTAGTATTGTCATAGTGATTCACTCATGTCATAAGTTGTTAAAATGAGGATTTTAGAGTTCAGTTATGTTACTTAAGATCAGTTAGATGGGGCAGGTTAGATGTGACATAGCAGGTTAAGCTTCTGCTAATGATACCATCATCCCATATGTGTGCCAGTTTGAGACCTGACTGCTCCACTCCTGATCCAGCTTCCTGGTGTTGTTCCTGGGAAAGCAATGGAAGCTGGCACAAATCCTTGGGTCCCTGCAACCACATGGGAAACTCAGATGAAGCACCTGGCTCCTGGCTTCAGCCTGGCCCAGTCCGGGCTGTGCCAGCCATTTGTGTAGTGAACCAGCCCATGGATGACATCTCTCTCTCTTTCTCTCTCCCTCTCCTCCTCTTCCCCCTCCTCCTCCTCTTCCTCCCTCTGTAACTCTGCCTTTCAAATAAATAAAAAACAAATCAAAATAAAATCAGGGGCTGGCACTGTGGCATAATAGGCTAAGCCTCCGCCTGCAATGCTGGCATCCCATATTGGTGCCGGTTTGTGTCCTGGCTTCTTCTCTTCTGATATAGCTCCCAGCTGATGGACTGGAAAAAGCATTAGAAGATGGCCCAAGTACATGGGCCTCTGCACCTACATAGGACACCTGCATGAAGCTCCTGGCTCCTGGCTTTGGGTCAGCCCAGCTTTGCCCATTGTGGTCATTTAGTGAGTGAGCCAGTGGGTGGAAGACCTTTCTCTCTATCTCACTCTATCTGTCTGTAATTATGCCTCTCAAATGAATAAATAAAATCTTTTTTAAAAAGTCAAATCCTGGATTAAGATGGTGGAGTAGGGAGGGAGCTTGTTGCTTGAGTCTAAGAGAAGATAGTTTTAAAAAGTGGAAAGAGCGCACAGTCTCAGAGAAGATTTAGGGAGAAAACAGCAGAAGAAACTCTACATAAATTAGAGGAACACAGTGGACCTACACAGAGGGAGAAGATGCACACAAATTAGGACCCCACCAGCCAAGAGTCTCCACACCAGTGTTGGAGAGCAAGGCACTGGTGAAACAACTGCAAGAGCCTAGAGGGAATCCAGTTTGGAGACCCATGGGGGATGGTGTGCCCACCAAACTAAAGGGGAAAAAACAAAGAGGGGGCATATTTTCTCTCTCCCCAATCATCCTGCAAAGGCATCCTGTACTAGCTAACAGAATGCAGGCACCATTTTGGACATACATACAGCTGCACCAGCTTGTGTCTTCACCCAGCATCCAGCCAAGCAGAACTTATGAGTCTGATGGGGAGAACAGACAGGGATCTGGGTGCTCATGACTATGGGAGGCTTGTGTTCTGGGACTGTGAAAACACTGAGGCTGCGTGGGAGGACTCAGGGTGTGGCT